GGGTTTGCTTTAGGGTTAGGGTTAGGGTTAGGTTTAGGGTGCTGAGTGCTTAGGAAGGCGCGGATTTGCCCTCCACAGTTATGTCATCGCGGATAAGGGCTTCGCGGTTTTGTGGTGGAACCCTCCTGAACCCCTTGTCTTCCGGGAGAAGAACCGAGGACGGTGCCTACAGCTCCTCTCCGTGTACAGCCCAGACTCCCTTCTCTCACAAGCCACAGAGATGGTTATCTTGCCCTTGTCTTAGGCCTACCTGTCCTCGGCGAAGACACGTCCATGTTTTGGGGACATTGTTTGGGTTTGTTTAGCTTGGCCCCGCTGGGTGTTCTGTTCTCCACAAAGCACTTAATTGAGCCCAGTGCGGTCACAAACGGCTCCTTTCTCTGGGAGCCAAAGAAAATACAAGCGTCGAAAGATAAAAGCTGCCGGGCATGTTATAAATATCACATCTGCAGGAAAGCAGATCAAGATAAGAGGCCGAGCAGAACCCGGTCTTGAAAGCACTTCCTCCTCCCTCATTCTGGTTGCGCACACTTGTCTGCACACTGTTCCCACCAAACCACCTTACATAAGTAAACACCACCAATGTGCACGAGCCCTCCTGTTGGAGAAGCACATAGAGAGCTTAAACTGCCTGTGCATCGTTGCATCTCCTTTGCTCAGGAATCCGAGTTGTTATTTATTTCCGGGAATTGCACCCCGCCAGATCCTTATCCTTATCCCGGGAACCTCTTTAGTTGCTTAGGAATGGGATGCGCTGTGTTTTATGTTGCCGCTGACGAAGCATCTTCTCCAAACTCTTCCCATCTCCCCTGGCGTAAAGAAATTAGCCCCCACCCCTGACGGCTGCTCCGTTACAAGTTCTGGGCCGGGGAGTGCATGAGGCAAGACTGTGCAGTGCGGCTGGGGCCGACTGCCAGAGGCATGGCGTGGGCCGTTGAATAGTGCTCAGGCATGGCTTTGGCTGTGATGTTGCATCAGCACATCGGTGTTGTAATCCTAGGTGTAGAGAAAGGAAGGTGAGGCACAGAAAGAGGAGATTTACAGGGATGGTGAGATCTTGATGGAAGTCCAAAGTCTTTGCTGTGGGGTGGGGGGTGGGTGGGCAGACTTTGAAAATGGTGGTGGACCAAGTCCTGCAAGAACCATCCGTTGCTTCTAATTCTTGGCTCTTCCCCCTCCACCCGGGTGCTGCCACCTGCAATTCTTCTCATGCTAGTCTCTTTATCAACACAGACACCTGTTTGAGAGTCACATCCTGCACTCATTGTTCCCAGGTAAACTGCAGGCAGAGTGAGCAAACAGGTGGAGAAGTGCGATTGAATTGCCCATCCCTACTCCCAGGTGAAGCGGGCAATGTTTCTGCAGCTTCTTTCATCCCCCGCTGGCACAGCTATGGTGTCACCAGTTTCATTCCAATGGGCACGTGGAAGATTACGGACAGAGACTCGGAGGCCTCTGCGTGAATGTAAAAATCTGACAATGTCTCCGTTTTCTATCAGCCCTCAAAGGGATTAGAGCAGTGTTTCTCAACCTTGGCAACTTGAAGATGTCCGGACTTCAACTCCCAGAATTCCCCAGCCAGCGAATGCCGTCTCTGGTCCACAGAAAAATCTTTCTCCACGGAACCAGTCCCTGGTGCCCCAAAGGTTTGGAGGCTGCTGCTGTAGAGGTTCCTCACTAGGGTCTTCTGGTGTCCTCCAACCACCAGAAGAACATCAAAGAGGCTTTCTTTCACTTCAGCAGCGATAAGATGGTTGCAGATGCTATAGATGAGCCAAGGTGGCGCAGTGGTTAGAGTGCAGTACTGCAGGCTACTTCTGCTGACTGCCGGCTGCCTGCAATTTGGCAGTTCAAATCCCAGCAGGCTCAAGGTTGACTCAGCCTTCCGTTCTTTCAAGGTGGGTAAAATGAGGACCCAGATTGTTAGGGGAAAATAGGCTGACTCTGTAAACCGCTCAGAGGGCTGTTAAGCACTGTAAAGCGGTATAAGTGCTATTGCTATATTGCTCAAGGGGAAATCCAGGACTTTAAACACACACTGTTGGGTGTTGAGGGGCTTCCGAAAGGATTAATTTGTTGTTAAAACAAAAACACTCTCTGAAAATAAACCGGTGTAGTAACAACTCAAAGACTCAGCTGTCTGCAGGAAAATCCTTTTAACCTTCGTTCTCCAGAGGTATGGACTTTGACTCCCATAATCCCTAGCTATGAATTCTGGGAGTTGGCATCCCAAGCTCCTTCAGGCTTAGGAGGGCTGGTCTTTTGTCTTCTCCTAAAGATGACCAATGATGTCTGCCTTGTGGACCAGTGTTGAAAGTGGTGGTTTTCAAATAACTAGGAACAGTCTCGATATACCAGTGTTTCTCAACCTTGGCCACTTGAAGATGTCTGGACTTCAACTCCCAGAATTCCCCAGCCAGCATT